ACCGGGTCAACATTCATCTTGATTTCGGATTTTATTTTCTTCCTTTGAAAGGATTGACCTGACCGGCTTGAAACTTGATTTGATTATCTAAGAAAGCCGAGCCAATTGAAAACAATATTTTTTCAAACGAAGACTCTTCTTTTTAAGAAGACGATTCCCGGCCATTCTTCGAAGCTGATTTGAAAACAAATCATTCATTCTGTGACGTGAGGCTCTATCTTAAAACTTTGAAACTATACCAAATCATACTCGGCAACTAAAGCATGGAGGAGAAGAGCCGTAAAGGGCGAAACCTCTATTTTCAAAAGAAAGCGACCCGCCAAAAAACATTTCAATAGAGAACTCTTTAGCGGAAATGGTTTCCTGGCCTATTGAAACTCTTTGAGCCGATTCGCAGCAACACATTATTTCAGATCAGATTTGTGCCAATTCCTCCATTCACAAAATGCCCTTATCAATCAAACTTTCTCTCTTACCGGAACTACCCTCTGCAGCTCCATCTTCAATAGCTGCTCAATCTTTCATTTCGAAAATAAAACTTGGATGTCACGGGACTTTCTCACAACTTTGTTCCTTGCATTTTTTCCATCTTTAGCAGTTCCATATTAATCGGTTTCATTCCGATTGATCAGTCGAGATTGTTAGCTTGGGCGCTAATGGTATTTCATATTTAGAATACCTAGACTAATGACAATCTTCCTTACTTGAATTGGAATCTTAAGCAGCTCAATTCCGATCTTCACTAGTCTGAGACGGCCCTCTGTTCAAGTACCTATTCTTCTACTCGAGCCTCGGCAGAGCCTTTTTGATCTCATTCGTATTCTAAGGAATTCAAAGGACTCTTTCATATTGCATCGGTGCTGGAAAAGATTGGACTATTCCCTACCGAGACAACATAAACTCTTCAACGGATCCTCCTTTTTTCAACTAGTAGATCGCCTCCAGGCGAGGGTTCCCCGCAGGGCTATTACACGTATTCCCCCCGGGGGTAGCTACAAGCATAAACCGGTTTATAAAATTACGTAGAGTGATTGCAGAAACTATTTTCAAGCTTGCGCACACGTGGGAAAGTTGAAGCTTTCTGAGAATGGAGAACCCCGGACGGCCGTGGAGGCCTGAAAACAAGATAGTCCGAAAAAAGGGCCTTCTGTCTACATGCTTTCGAGAATAGAATAGACGAGACGGCTGTGATTGACAAAGTAGGGGGAGGTGAGTCTTGTCTCCTTTCACTTTGTCGTACTCGGAGGAGTGGTGACTAGAGAGTACATGCCAGACGAAATAACTGTGGCTCCATACGGGGGATAGTCGGGTTCTTATGGGTGCATTAACTAGAAATTGGTTGGAATTGTAAGTAACTGTAAGCGAGGGAGGGAAAGGAAAAGCAAAAAGTTTTATGCGTTCGTGCTCCATATCCGTGAAGCACTTCACTCGCTCAAGAAGACACATAAAATTACTAGCTTTTCGGTGTTGAAGAAAAGAGGCTTTAAACCTTCATCGACGCTAAAACACTGACAGGGGGAGCAACATGGAAAGCGAGGCTCCACACCCTTCTCTGTGGGATTTAGGAATCAAAACCGGACGAAGCTCGCACACAAACCTGCTACCAAACAGGAGAAAAAAAAAAGGAATATGTTGAATTGGGACAGGAAACCATCATAAGTCAGCCAACAAGCAAAACGAGTTCTCATTCACGGATAACTAAGCTTTGACAAGGGAGAGGGGGACCAAACCATTAGGAGGAAGAAGCAGATGGAAGACAGGGTCACTTGTGAAAGAACTAGCCGAAGGGGACCATCACAGTTGGNAACCATTAGGAGGAAGAAGCAGATGGAAGACAGGGTCACTTGTGAAAGAACTAGCCGAAGGGGACCATCATAGTTGGTGTGCTGGATGACAGGCTAGCTCACCAAGAACATCAAGAGAGGTTGGGGAAGACTTTGCTGCGGCAAGTCAAGGAGAGGTTAGTTCAAGGGATTTCAGACAGAAGTCCCATCAATCAGAAGAAAAGGATGTTCCAGGAAAGAAGGAAANATTCAGTCAAGGACTTAGGCGATCAAAGAAAAGAAGACTTGAAAGAAAAGCCTTCTATCCCACAGCTAAGGCATCCATCCAATACAGAGAGAGCGTCATATAGAATAACTCTATCCTTTGGAAACCACCTATTCCTCTCATCGACTACCTTCACTAGGGTCAAGATTCATGGTTGGGGAAGGATCAGGTCTTTTCGAGAGCTTATTGACCCATAAAAATAAGCTTTGTGACCGATTTCTTTGAGTCAGCTTCTTTTCCGTGCGTGATAGAGCGTGAGGTTCGAGGGCTGTACGAACAAATGCTTTATTCGATCACTTTTCGCTAGCCTTAGTGAGTGATTAGATAGTGTATGATCCGTGCGCTAAGCGAGCAACAAGCATTTTCTACTTCAACAACTTCTACTTATAGCTTAGCAGTTTTGTCTTTCAAAATTTGCTTTTCTCTTTGCTTTTTCTTTTAGATGATGACAAACGAACTGAAAACTGGGAATGCTTCTAATTAATTGAATCTTTTTTTAGAATCCAATTTTTTTATATATATAGCAGAGTGATGTCTTTATGACAATTCGTCAAGTAAACCTGCGCCCAAAGTGCTTACGTAGTCGGTCACTGTTTGGCTAAGATCCTTGATGACTGATTCATAAACCACTAACGCTTTCAGTCTTGTGTTAAGTGTTCGCATAGCGACTAAGGTCCTAACAACTTGATGTCAGACTGTTCAACATGAGGGACATCTAACTCCTCTAATACAGATAACATAAAGACTAGGATTAGATGCTTAACATAACGACTCGTATGCTTTCATGAAAGATAGAGGAGCGACTCCGGAGAGAGACATCTAACAACTCGACTAGAGCGGATCCCAAGACTTCACCCCTTCCTTTAAACTATTGGGCACTACATTCTATAAAAAGAAAGTGAAAATGAAAGGTAAACAAAAGAGAGAACAAATGCGACAGAAAGCGTCAGAGCTTCGAAAGCCTGAAATTGAGCTTGAAATTGAGTGTCCTTGAATTGAGCCTGTCGTGTCCTTCCCAACCCAAGACAACAAGGCGGTAACGGAACTACGGCAACTATGGAACGCATCATGCGGTTTCTTTCAATGCATGGGTTATGGCCTAGGAGAACTCATGCGACTATTGGCATTGGGGAAGCCATGCGTTAGGTAAACCAACCACACATTTCAAGCGAAGGAGTGAAAGTTACTCGACTGTAATGGTTGGAGAGGACCTACAATGAGTTGTGGTTGCTTCGCAAGCAATACTCGACGGTATAGCGCATGCGTCTCATCGTCTTGAGAGCACTCGTAGTTGTTTAAGTCGTTGTGTTAGGGCAATACAACTACGAGAACCAGTCATCCTAACGCTACTATCAAACCTACTTACGTTGTCCTTATTACCACTCGTCGGGTAGTTGTTCTGTAACTCCACTAGTCGTTATAGCACTAGTCCTTTTTGTTCGGCGTTAGGGGGCCCCACGAGTCGTCGCTAGCGTCATCGGTTGTTTTGAACACAGATCAGTCACACTACTGGTTGTTTGGAACGCTAAGGCCGAAAGGCAGGCGGTCGGGAACACAAAAGGTGCTTGTTTTGGGCGCTAGGGGCCGTTGCTCACGCAAGCGAAAGGGTGTTTTGGAGCACTAAGGGCGACTAGTGGTTGCTTCGCTCGACAAGACTGAAACCTTCGCTTGCACCACTAGAGTCATTCTGGCACTTTGAGTTGTTACCAATAGTATTGTAAACAACATCCCCGAACTAGCGCATGCGATATCCCTCGGGGTCTTTATGGTAACCAGCATGCATTAGGGAAAGAGTATAGCAAGCCGAAGGCGATCCCCATAACTACAAGTGTTGGGGATCGTTTTCCATAACGCTCTAACGCACGTCGTTATGCCAATTTGGAACACTACCGATCGCCACCTCTTGCAAGCAACTGTCGGTCACAAATGGGAATAATCATACGCTATCATAGGCGATTCTAATTTCTTTGGAGATTCTCAATGCAGCATGCGCTGAAATCCGCCTAGCTACTTACTACTCTACAACACTTAAAATAAAAAATGAAATGGAATTCAAATTGGTCGAGAAAAAGAACCGCGTTAGTCGAAATTTGGGGAAATATAGAGAGCTCTCTAGGCTCTCCTGATCAAATTGAGAGTTCGCTTTGTCAGTCCATGAATATGCCGCACCCATCAGTTCGAGGAGTTGGCCAGATACGGGTCGAAGCCCTGCCTTGAAAAAGTCAGGACTTTTAGGCAGATTCCAGTATCCGACCTATCTCTTTCTTCCGATTCCCCGGGTTGTCGGAATCTCTAGTTCGATCAGGACCAGGAGTCCCATTCATTCGTTTATGGGAGCGACTCTCTGTTTCCATTCTCCATCGGGTCATCAAGTAATTAGCCAGCTCAATCCATTTTTCCATTTGATGATTTTCACCCTAGGACTGACTCTATTAGACCTGCCTTGATTGCCTAGCTAATGCTACCGTCGCAAGCAACCTCTCAAAGAATAGGGAGTGAACGACCCTTCTATCTAGATCGGTGATTCCGTTCAGTCGAGCCAGTTATCGAAAGTCTTGCAAGAAACCTACACTAAGCTAAGCGAGCTAGAAGCTAAAGTGAATCTTTTTTGCCCTCTTTTTCTTTGCTTTGACCGCGACTTTGTTTGGTCTTCCTCTTTCCTTCGGCCCATCTTTCAAAGCTAGCAAAAAGTTTGAGCCTTCGGGATCTCTCTTTAACGGCGGTCGGTCAGTCCTTTTCTTCTGTTGATGCTGACACTGATGCTTTGACTATCTCCCATATCATTCGATAATAAAGATCCACTACTTGCCTTGTCGACGCTAAACTCAGTACCTCGCTTCCTTACTAGTACACCTACTAGACCCATACTCATTACGAATGTGTTCACCAGACATCTGACTTAGCAACCTACTACTTAGACCGGCAACGATAAGTAAGGAGATCTATGGATAATGGGATATAGAAGTCAGGTGCCTTGGTCAGCTCAATCAGAGCGGAAGCGGTCAGGCAAGGTTATCGTCAGACAACTAGTGCAAGCGACGGGTAGCGTTTGCCATATGAAGAAGGCGAATACAATGGGAGATGAAGGTGACGTGGGCTTGCCATATAGATGTAGCGCTTTCAAGGCAATTCAGACGATGTTAGCAAGTGCTAGCGCTAGCTAGGTTAGGGTAGTGCTTGCTATAAAGAAGCTAGCCAGAAAGCAGGTCAGGCAGGCGAGCGATAGTACAAGCAAGCTAACACGCGGGCGAGGTTGAAGGGGTCTTGTGCAACCTTTGGATTATCACAAGCACAACCTTTGACCCCTTCGTCGACAACCTCTCATTTGTTCGACTACTTGCCGGGCCTGCTACATTTAGGTATAAGAAGCCCCACCCGGGAAAAGAGTGTAAAGCAGTACTCATGTTAAATTGTGTCCCTTGTAAATGAAAGAGCTCATGCCATAAATTGCTAATGAAGATCGGGTCCCCAGTCCCTGACAATTGAGTGTGGCATTCCATGCAATGAATATATCAGTCAATGACGTTGCCAAGGTAGATGTTTTTCTTTGCCTTTCAAGATATTGCATATAAAGAGAAAGATAGCCTGTCCTCTTGGGCGGCCGAGAGTGTTATGTAAAAAGGACCAAGGAGGATCCTATCCTAAAGGAGAAGGAGGAGGAGTAGGAGCTAGCTTTAGGGGCGGAATCGAAGTGAAGAAATTAGTTCATGCCATGACGATCTATATGGAAGGGAAGTTTTGTTGATGCATTCCTCTTGAGAATGAAGAAGAAGAGAGATCCTATTTTTAACCGGAAAATTTGGTCACGTAGATCTTCTATTTCGCCGGAATTCGTTGATTGCTCTGTACGAATTAACAATGGAAAAACTCCTGTTCGTTGTAAGATTACTGAAGGAAAGGTTGGTCATAAATTTGGAGAGTTTGCTTCTACACGGAAACGAAGACCTTCGAGAACAAATATTGGACCGGGAAGAAAAAAAGGGAAAAAGTAAAGTCTAAGCGCATATGGCACGAAAAGGAAATCCTATTTCGGTAAGACTTGATCTGAATCGTAGTTCAGATTCAAGTTGGTTTAGTGAGGGCGACCGCGAAAGTCACCAAATGGGTCAATATTTTAGTTCTCCCAGATTAGAATATCAAAGGAGGACATTGCATATGCCCGGGGAGGACACAACTTCTTCTAAGGCTAGAAGACCACTGGAAGACACCCAGGACTATAGCATGTCGTGAAAGAAGCACACTGGACGGGCGTGCTTTGACCGTGTCTTCGGGGAACAGTTGAATGTAGATATCATGAATGCGAGGTGCAAGATACCAGGCCGAGAAACCCGGGAAACCATTCCCCTATGAGCCAATCGCTAGCGCATCCAGGGCCCCGACGCCCAGCTCAGTTGGAGAGGCCTAGCCTGATCTGAGAAGTGTTAATTCAGTTCGAATAGACTTCATTCAAGAATGCCACCACCCCGGAAATCAATAAGAAAACAAGTGCTAAGTTTTAGATCAGTGAATAAATCGAAAGGAAAGAAGAGACCTTTCTCGCTCAGCGCCTAAAGTGCGCTATGCTCCGCTTCAACAAATGAGAGTTTTTGGTGGAATCGGTGAACCATGCGAGCTGGTTAGATGCGTGGGACAGAGGGCTCGTAGTACCTGCTAGCGCAGCTATGCAGTGGAAGGGAAGGAGCCTAAATCGACCCCTCTCTTTTTTTCTTTGAAAAAAGCAGTAAGGAGTAAGGAGATTAATCTCTCGGATGAGACTAAGCAGCTACCGACTGTTCCGACGCGCCCTTGACCTATTTTGATTAAGACCAAAAACCTATCTCTAAAGTGGAGCCTAGTTTAAGCTGGCAAACAAGTGATGATTGAATAAAAGAAAAACCACTAGTAGGGATATGGATGGAGTCTCTCTCAGTAAAGAGAGTTGTAGGATTCGTAAAATAGGAGAAGAGCCTTTACTTTCAAATGACAACTGTTTCTTCCTGCTGCGAGGGCCTTGAAACCAAACTGCCCCCCCGCCCGATCAAGTACCTGATGCTTCGCTGGTAGGCCTACTTAGGTTAGGGTTCCAAACCTTGGTTCTTACCAACCTCCGGTGTGTAATCTACATCTTTCTAGCTAGAACTCGGTCAAATAAGAATCATTGATTCCCTCTGCTGTCAATTTCTTATTCATTCATTGCATTCAGCCGGTGCTCCTTTCTCATCTCAAACCATAACTACTCTGAACGTTATGGAAGATAAGGGAAGACCGCCTGAGTGAAGCGACTGAAGAAACTTGACTTATCCAAACCGAACGATAGCACTTAAAGCGTTGCCTATCACGAGCAGCCTCGCTCCTTGATCGGCGGGGAGGAGCATCTCAAAG